CCGCCCCCCAGTTCTGCCTCTTCTGCTCCTACGCGGTGGCGCTCCTCTACGGCGCCAACCGCATCGCCGCCGGCGCCTATACGGTGCGGCGCGCGTGGCCTCGGACCGCAGCTTATATGAGCAGCCGCTCCGCTCCGCTCCGCTGCCTCGGCCTGACGACGACGGCCCACCCCTTTGAAGGGGCGGGAACTAGTTCAATCTGTTCCTGCCATTCGACGTGTATCAAAAAATGCAGGCTGGGTGGGCTAGCTGTGCCTGTTAGGCCTTGTTGAGTCACAGCGCGGCTTGCAGCTCCAGGCCCGTTGTTGCCTGCGCCTGCCTCCACGGTAGTGCGGGCCCACTCCACTCCGCCTCTGCTTTCCGATTTCTTCGCCGCCCACGCCCGCCGACTCGCCGCGCCGCGCCCCGCCCCGCGCCCTCCCCCAGGGCGGTGACGTCATCTCGGTCATCCTCTCGTCCCTGATCGGAAGCTTCTCTCTCGGCATGGTGCGCCCCCCTGTCCCCCGCACCCCTTCACCAAGGCCCTCGTCTCCCCAGAACTCCAACCCCCGCATGCACACCCAGGCTGGCGCCCACGCGCCCACGCTCCCGCGGCTGCGCTCGCGCCTTTTGTCCTCCTACATGCTGCCGCGGCGCCCTTGCTCCCAGCGGCTCTCTTGGTCCCCCTTCCCGGCAGATCCTCCCAGGGGGGCCCCAGGTCCTCCCTGGAAAAGCCCCCCTGATCAGTCACTCAGTCACCACCATCGCACCAATCTTATGCCACAGCTCTCACCGCCTTGCCCCTCGCCCCCGCGCAATCCCCTGCGGCCCACAATATCCCCTCCCAATGCCCCGCCCCCCCCCCATCAACCCCAGGCGGGACCCATCTTCCAAGATATCAACAAGGGCAAGTCCGCCGGCGGCCGCTTGTTCAGCGTGCTCGCGCGCGCCCCAACAATCGACGCGGACGCGCCGGGGCTCGAACCTGCGTCTGTGCAGGGCGAGGTTGAGCTCAAGGGCGTCGCGTTTGCATACGTGAGCGGCGACGTGCAAGTGTGCTTTGTTTGAGGGTGCCATGCCAAAGGGTACCCTATCGAGAGTACCTTGTTCGAGGGTGCCTTGTTGAAAAAGATATGCTTTGCTGCATACCTTTTGATGTACACAGACCGACATTGATTTTACAAAACGCCGGCCTCAGCGGAGCAAACTGCCGACGCTTACCTGCCACGCCCCACCATCCCCCGCCACCACCAACGCCGCACCAACCCCCAGCCGGCGCGCCCCGATGCTCCCGTGTTCCGCGACTTCAGCCTGCTGGTCCCGGCCGGCAAGACGGTCGCCCTCGTCGGCAGCAGCGGCAGCGGCAAGGTGCGCGGCGCGGTTCTGCGGCGCCGCGCCCCGGCCCGGCCTCAGCCCTGGGCCCCGCCCCGTCGTCGTTGCGCCCGCTGGGGGTCTTGCTGGCGCCTCCTTGTCTGCTGTTTGTATTCCCTGGGCTCTGCCAAGTAGATGCTTTATACTGATCAGAATTCTGTCTCCTGGGAATTCTGTAGCCTCGGCTGCTCGCACGCACCCGAACACGGCCTCATACGTGCGCGCGCCGGCGCCGCTTCCGTCCCCCCATCGCAGTCGACCGTTGTGGGGCTGATCGAGCGCTACTACGACCCGGCCGCGGGGCGCGTCACCCTGGACGGCGTCGACCTGCGGAGCCTCAACCTGGGCTGGCTGCGGCAGCAGGTGGGGGGTGGAGGGCGTTGGGCTGGGACGGGTGAGGGTAGGGGGGGGTGCAGAGGCGGGCCGTGCAGGGTGCACCGTCCTGTGGGAAGAATTCAGCAGCGGGGCGCATACTTTGTGTCAACTTTGCCCCGAACATTTTACCGGCCATCCAGTTGCGGGCGGCTGCCGTCACACCCTCGCAATGACGACGAAACTAGCTGCTTCATCCCCGGCTCTCAAGGTCCGCAAAAAGTGCCGGCCGCTGCCTCTGATTCCGTGCGCCGCCCTCGCCGGGCAGCTCGGCTCTGCCCCGCCGCTCGCTCACGCACACCCCTGAGACTGTGGACCCCTCCTTTTGCGCTCCCCCCTGGAAGGTCGGCCTGGTGAGCCAGGAGCCGACGCTGTTCATGACGAGCGTTTTCGAGAACATCGCCATCGGCAAGCAAGGTGAATTGGGGGAAAATGTGGTGTTTGGTGCGGGCTTCGCCGGCGGCTTGTACCGCGTCTGCCTCCCCTCGTGATACACCCGTGCATCTGCACGCGCGCGCGCGCACACACACACACACATACACACACACACACACACACACACACACACATACACAAACTTGTGCACATACTCATGTGCACGCATGCTTGCACACAACACACACACACACGCGCACGCGCACACGTGCACACACACAAATCCACGCACACAACGAAACCAGGCGCAACGAGGGAGGAGGTGGAGGCGGCGGCGCGCGCGGCCAACGCGTCCGGCTTCATTGGCAACCTGCCCCTCGGCTTTGACACCCAGGTGGGGCCG